AAGCAAAATCAAAGCATATACAATAAAAGGAAAACTTCTTTCACATGGGGAAATCATAACATCTGCAAAACAACTGTTGTGCAACTAATATATTTATTGCCCACCCCAGTAGTGGTAGTAAATATGTTATTTAATCAGATAAATCTTGGACTGTAATATATTGTTTATTAACACATGCCCTACTGGGTGTGTGTTAGAACAAAAATATGAACGTGTGAATCGAGCTCAAATCATGATCAAATGGATAATTCTGCAAATATATGGAATAAATTAACCACAGCTTCCATAAAAAAAGAGTTTGAGAACAACAATCACACAGCTCCAAGTCACACATATTTCAGTTAAAAACTCTTCATTAAAAACTAACAAAACTCGACTTAAACTAAGCTACTATGTTCAAAGTAGAAGGAACAAAAAAGATGGTTGTTAATCATAATCAATGAGATGACGCAATGATATCACAGTTTAGCATGGATTTAGTGTTTGAGAACCAAAGTTTATCTTGAAGAATTTGGAATGAGGTTAAATTAGCTTTTAAATAATTTAGAGCAATTGGAACGTTTTCAAACCAATTCACAATGCAAATCCATGAGGTGGATAAAACATTTTTTTTTTTTCCAAATAATGTTTTATTAAATTATTTGCTTAATCAGGAACCAATACCTTTAGGTAATTAATGCTTTACCCTACTTTGAATGAGCTAAACATTAGCCGCCAAAATGATTTTTGGTCATATTTTGGTAATCACAATATAATGAGCATATAAGAAAACACATGAACGTTAAAGTTATTTTAGAGTTTCAACCCTTAAAGAGATATATAAACAAAGGCCCAGACATGTCAGCATAGCCTTCCATTCGATCCATCTTGTTAGTTTTGTCTTTACTCGATGTTAATCACATGAAATTATCAAAAATATAAGAAACAAATTATTTAGCTAGAAATTCTCCTAAACACATATCAAATATATAGGGATTAATTTAGATCAAACCCTGAACATTAAAAAGCAAATTAAAATACTCTATAACTCAACCAGATATAATTTATCATCATGTTCTCATATCAATTACCTTAACATTTGAAGCATATGTTGCATACATAAATCACCTACTGTTTGTCCTGTTTATCTTAGGCCAACGAGACAGCACTCAAACCTATGAGATCGCTTTATAATCAGGATCTGGAGATACTAAATAAAACTTTCTGTTACCATCACTGTAATATCATAGGAAGTAAATACCAAATCTCACATGTTTATCCATCCATCAATCCATCCATCCATCCATCCATCCATCCATCAATCCATCCATCCATCCATCCATTTTCTGACACGCCTAATCCCAAGTGGGGTCACAAGGGGTGCTGGTGCCTATCTGCAGCTGTCTAAGGGCGAGAGACAGCTGGAGAATTTTGGAGAATTTAGAGAAGCCAATTAACCTAACAGTCATGTTTTTGGACTGTGGGAGGAAGCTGGAGTACCCGGAGAAAACTTTGTTGCAAGGTGTGTCTCACATTAGGAAATTACATGGTGTCATAAGGTGAATAAATGTGTTTGTTATGTGGACATTGTATTATATAACAATAAATGATCTTATGCATTTCTGCCGTAAAAATACCAATTATGCTGAAATCATTTGTTTTAAAGATGGAAACTGTATCATGCTGTCCTATGCATGTAAACCTCAGTGTAAAATAGCATTCAAACCTATTTCACATGTGTATAGATTACAAATTGAACATGTCCCAAAAGGTTTTCCCATGTTTCACATTTTCTTCTAATTATTTTCCCATTTGCTTTTTTTATGATCCTGTGTAGACCATGTGAACACGTTTGTCATGTTCTTTTTAAGGGGTCTGACCCACATGCAGGAAACCACTGAGAGAACCAGAGAAAAGGTTTAGCAAGTTTATTGAAAACACGATGAGTTGGATCCAGTGTTTCTCAGAAAATTGGTGAACCGGAACTGGAAGTGAGAAGGGAAGTTCAGTGTTTAGTTCAGGCTCAGTGGGAAACTTGAGCGATGACTTGCAAAAACAGAGACTGAAACGGGACTCACGTTTCCAGGGAAAAGGTGTCCTTCCCAGAATCCAGTCTGTGTGGGTTATTTCTGAACTTGGTTGACTCGTTGGAGGGCGGACAGGGTTTACTCGGGTTTGGTTGGTTCCTGAGGAGCGATGGAGCTGACTGTCACTTAATTTTCCAGAAGTACTTGAACGGTTAGTGTGGAGATTTATCCCCTGCTCTGTGTGAGGCTCAAACGATCCTTCCAGGGGGAGAAGGCCAAAACATCCAATTTGCAGGATGACTTCTTGCCGAGAGGCAAAGACAAAAAACAATAAGGTTAGGCTCAGGGAGACAAAGACTCAGTTAGACTCTGCTAAACTCAGCTTTGTTAGAGTACCCAAAACTGGCAAACACTCTGGCATTGAGGCAGTGGCAGTCAGCAGCTTAAGAATCCTCAGATAATGAGGCAACCATCCGCAGGTGTGTGGAAGGGCCAGCGAGAACCGGACGCCACCTGGTGGTGGAGGGAGAAAACACAAACACACAACCCACACAAACTGGATTCCTAACAACGTTCACCTCATGTGTTTAGATGCCTCCAGTTGCATTAATACACAAGAGGTCAAACAGGTAAGAAATGTGGACTTTGTGTATGTTATTGATAAATGAGGACACTCAGTCAGCATTGGACTAAATTAAAATGATGTAAATAATGAAAACCGTTGCTGAAAAGCATCACAATTGTCTCTATCATTATTTATTTTATAGAAACCTCTGACAGTCTGTAAAGGCCAGGTACTGTACTGTTCTACATGTCTAGTAGACATTATATAATTTTGGATGACGATGTTAAGTCTTGTTGGACTTCAAAGCGGTCAGAAAGCTGTTTACCTTTAAACTCTTTGAGCCGTGGCTCCACATAATGTACAGGCGGGCTCCTGAGAGCCAGCTAGCCCATTAGCCAGGGTTGATGCATTCAGCGCTCCCCATCATGTGCCGTCCATCACTGCAAACTAGATCTGGTTTCACAGGGGAGCCGCCTCACCTCTTTGTGCTTTGAGGCAATTCTAGTTCTGAAACATCAACCCCTGCGAAGTGCGACGGATCACTTGGAAGAGTTGAGTGTGGCACGAAAGATGTGTTTTTTTTCTTTTCTTTTCTAGCATCAGGTGTGTCAAGCTTGCATCTGAGTTTACAGGTTTAAATGAAGGTTGTAAGTTCAGGGATTTCCCTGCAGAGAAACCCAAACAAGTTATAAAAAGTAGAACTTGCAGCTGTACTGAACCTCTTGTAAAGGGCTTTTTTTTTATCCTCTGAATATAAAATTGAGATTAGCTGGATCAGAAGGTGAAATTGTTGTCGACCCAGCCTGTGATCTTAGGTTTCACAGCTCAGCCAAGCTAAATGGACCGGGTGCATTACAGGCCAAAGTGGAGCTGCGTAGAGTGCTTTTAAAAGGCTACGAATAAAAATAAAAAAAACAAACAACTGCAGACAACCTCCATGTTTTCCTGCTGATCGGTTGCAGAGGGATAGTGACATGCAGCAATTGCAAGGCTTTGTGTATCAGTTTGCAGTTTAAACAAAAACAGCCGATGGAGAGAGGGCAGAACACACATGGAGGGAATGGTGACGGATATGAGGGCTCACATGTGATACAGCTTTGTGAAGGTTAAGTTCATAGTTGGACAAGAAAAAGCTTTTTACCAATTGATGTCACACCTTGGATCCTGGGAATCTTGTCTCTCAGCAAATGTTTTAGGGTAAGAAGGACAAATTAGACCTCAAGAAAAAGCACTGCCTGCTTGTTTTCTTTCATGAGCACCTTATCATAAACCTGCTTCCTTTTTAACACCATTTTAAGATTTGTTCTTTGTTTTAATCCTTTGTGAGCACATAAGGCTGGCTGGGTATAAACTACAGTGTGTATAACATTCTTTGTGAGCTCATACATTTGCAATTTTATATGCTTTGATTCTGGACTGTGGGTTTGTATCACGAACACATACTGTCGACCCAATTGTCAAAGTTCCTAAGAATACTCTAACTTAACCAATACAGTGAGATATTGATTTGTGATTTGAAAATAGTAATCAATCATTTTTATAATATTTCTTTATCACTTTTTTTAGAAGGGAGAGAGAAAACCTGTCCAACAGTGACCACATCCACTGTTCTGTGAAATTTTGAACTAGGAATTATTGACATGAAAGCTAAATGGAAAACCTAAAGGTACCAATAGATTGTCAAGGAAACACATCTGCAAAGTTGCATGATGTAACTGAACTGTCATCACACATAAGATGGATACATAGACTCCAGAGATAAGATAAATTAGAGGTGCTTTTAGGTGCATATGATACAAGCTCCTGAAACACATACATTAAGAACACACTGATGATATACAGTAAGACATGGAAAATCTGATTTCTAATCAGATTTGTTGTTGTTAACTGTCTAATTGTCAGAGGCACGCTTCGAAATATGAAAGACAAGAGCCTTTAAAATGCAAGTAAGGCAAATAGATGCTCTTCATAATTTGGAAAAAAGTTTCTTGCCTAAACTAACTAAAACCTTATAAACAACTAGAAAGGTGACAAACAAGGCCTGCAACCATATTAACGGAGGTGGATTGTGAGGTAGGTAAAAAAAAAAAAAGGAGTACATGCTCCCCCTGTCGAATTTGAAACTGCATAATTTCACTTTCAATCCAAAGAAGCAGATCTAATATAATGATCTCAGGCCGATTCTAATACGTAGAGAAGTTGACCAAACTTTGATCATTCTTTGCTTTCCATTAGGGTTCCTCTCTCTCACTCAAAAACTCTGTTTCTCCCACTTCCATCGATAAGAAGAATGAGTCATCACTATGAAGCAAATATGCCCCCAGTGTTTGCTACCAGCAGGGTGTGTAAATTCCACACCTGTCCCATCATCAGCCTCCTCCTTCTCTCTCCTCTCTTGCCTCTCCTCCTCCTCCTATGTGCCCTATCTGTTTTCACACATGCTCTCTTTCTCACTTCTGCACACGCTCACCTCCCAGTGAGCAGCTGGAGAAGCGGAACGACGCTAAGAACATGCAACACCAGGCTGGAGACCAATAGAAGGGGTTTGGGCCCACTCTGCTTCTTTTCCAGGTAAGCTGAGATTCATATCTTTTAATGAGTGCTTTAATGAAGGTTAACTTTTCCTCCCTCTGTTGTATTAAATAAATCCCTATCATTTGTCAACATAAATAGCAAATTTTTACTTCTCATTCAGTGTTTTTTTTTTATTTTTGGATATGTTCTTGTCAATCAACACTGCTTTTGTCTGAGTGTCCCTTTGTGCCAGTTTCAGACTGTTCTCAAAGAGACCATTAGTCCAAACTGAACAAGTCAGGAGAGGCTAAACTAACTCAAGTGTAAAGGTGGAAGCGGTCCTTTTGTCCCCTTGCTTTTTTAAGCTCAAGATGGATCATTACACTTTTTCTCCACAGGAGAGGAGCAGGAGGAGGAGGAGGAAAGGGTGTCGTGACAAAGGCTGCAGCTGTCTTTTCTGCTTCTTTTGAAGAAAGGAGAAAAATGACATAATGGCTTTTATGCTCAGGTAACTTGGACACTGATACCCTTGATACTAATGCGACTATTGACTTCTATTTCAAAGGTTTGAAGAAATATGCACGAAAGGAAATCAACTAAAGGGGTGAATTTACTGATTATTATTAATTAATAATTTTTTATTATTTTTAGTTATCTCTAAACCACTTTGGATAATTAAGGAGACAAAGAGTGAAATTTTAGCATTTGAATATGCAGAAAGGTGAAAATGTTCAGCTGCATCTCTGCACAACTTTAATGGCTCTACAACAAGGCTTCACAAACATATTGGATATGATGTCGTCATGCTCCTGTTTGGGTGGAATAACCATTTATTCTGAAAACTGAGCTTCAGGTCCTGAGGCCCAGGCAAACTAAGAAGACTGAGTCCTGTTCCAGCTGGAGAATGGGGCCCATCCCAGGAAAGGAGAAAACTGATATTTGAGTTCAAAGTCTATAATTATACCTTCTTTTCATGAAATTTATGAGTTTCAAACAGCCATTTCAACTCTTATTGACAGAAATATGGTTTTAAATGTATTCATCTTTTTATTAATCTTTAAAATGATTAAGCAATACATTTATTTTCAATTAACAATGGAGTAGTGTATTATTTTTGTTTTTCTTTTATAACAAGCAAATGTACAGGGTTGAAAAAAGGTACTTCCCCCTTATAGATTTATTTTATATATAGATATATATTTGTTTTTGTTTTGTTTTTATAATATAATACTGGAAAGTTTCAGATCAAACTACGTCTGATGTAAGACCAATGTAAATATAACCTGGGTAACTAAAAACAATCTTTTTAACAATATTGTTATTAATTAAGGAAAACCAAACGAACCTGAATGTTATTAAAATATCATTGCCTGACAGTGTTAAATCTGTGATTAATCACATTTTTGGAGTTGCTGACATTAATTTAAATAATGCAACATTTCTAAAAAAAAAAAAAAAAATATATATATATATATATATATATATATATATATATATATATATATATATATATATATATATATATATATATATATATATATGTATATATTGCATCAACAGTCAAAGCTATTGGTGGAAATCATCCAGGGCTACTTTCCAACTACTGGAATTGGACAACTTGCCATAACTGACGTAACCAAAAAAATGTGGCTTACAGTTTTACGACCTTAACCTCAACTGCAGTTTAGTGAGAAAGCAGCTCACAATCTGAACAAAACCAGCCAGTGAATGCCTGAATGGATCTAAACAGTATAAAGCTTTGAAGTGGTGAGAAGTTAAGACTCCACACCGATAGACCTGCAACAGTGTCACCTTTAACTGTTTTTGAATTTTTTGCTCCCGAAAACTGATTTAAAATGGCATTGCTTGTTACCTAAAGGCTGTTGTTGCCACCAAGATTACCTCAATTAGTTATTAGTTTTATTTGGGGGGGGGGCATTATTTATTTCACATAGAGCAAGGTTGGTTTGGATGGTAACACCCTGCATTATTGCTGTCATGAAAACCAATTTTCTTACAGCAGATATAAGGTATAAGATATAATCAAATACATTTACTTTAAATAGGTCCATTCACATACTACGCCTATACCAATATCACCAGATACCATATATTACTTTGAAAATAAGCACTATAATCAAAACATTTGTCATGATAGTGTTTACTTAGTCTTTTTTAAGCTTTGAGGAGAAATTTTGCACTAGGCTCAATATATGGGATAAGGGAACTGTCAATAAAAAGGTATTTTAATACATTAAAATTTTGTATTTTTTCCTTATTACCAATTCATACCATACATATGAACTCAAATGCTTAATCTGTGACAAGTTTGGAAGTTATAATACACACTGCAATTGTACAACCTTGCACCAATACATACGAAATTCACAAATGTATGAGTACAAATCAAATTGAATCATAAAATTTATAAGTATAAATTTGAAATCCCTGATGAAGCACGACACTCCTTACCAGCTGGTGGTGGTAATGCATTTGAAAGTTGTTTGCCAGCCACCATTGAATAAGCAGACCATGGAGCTAATGTTATGCTGTGCATACACCAGTTGTACCAACATGTGGCGCACTTTATGTGATGTATGGCCATCCTCCTCAAACCCGCTGCTGTTATGCTCATTTTTATTTGCATTAGAAGACAAAACAATAGCATTTTGTTGATGTAAGCCTCAACAGAACTTACTGCTTTATTGACATACAAACCAGTTATAAGGATACTCTTTATCTTGCAGGGGGAGAAACACGACCTTTTCACCTACCTGGAACACCAACTTTATGGAACATTTCTAAAGACGCAGAACTTAGCTCATTAGTGAGCATCAGTAAAACAGGATTTGTTCACAGTGGCTAAGTTCAGTGTCTGACAGGAAAAAATCTGCTCCTGCATACCTGAGGCTCCTGGCTGCCCATAACACCTTAGAGCTGATGGGAGAGGAATGAGTGCCATTTAAAAGCTCCTGTACTGTAAAAAGTAGTGGAATGCTGCAAAAGTCTTTGCATGTCCTGACAAGTTATGTTGAAATCAGCTTGAAGATAAAGAATAATAAGAAAACATGCTAAATTAGGAAGAATGAGAGCAAAACAATACATGAATGCAATTTGGTTGTTTGCTTTTTATCACACTGAATGTAAATTGCAGAGGGATAACTGATTCTTTGTGTCAAAGATGTAAAGACAGATATGATGTAAGTCGATGAAAATGCAACTTTGCAGGATTTAAAAAAGAGCTGTTGCTTGTTAAAAGTTTGCCTTCAGTTATTTTTGGAGAATTCGTCACACTCAGCTATATTTCGGTTGTTTACTCATGTGCCTACTGAACTGGAATCAGTGTATCTTTGCAGAACTGGCTCAGTCCAGCAGGAACAAGTGTGACACCTAATGAGAGTTCATTGCTTCCTCCATCAAAGCCATCACCAGCAGCAACACACCAGAGATGACCACTCATATTTGTATCCATTTTAAAGTGTCACACTGGGACGGATGACAAAATTAAATGAAGTATGTTCTCCTCTTCCCTAATTTGTCCTCCTGTGTGGGCGATCCTGGCTGCCTCTGCTGGTAGTCGTTTTCAGCGGCAGCTGATTCTGCTGAGTAACAATTTGCGTTGCCTCTCTTCATTCATCATGCTATAATAAGCTGTCAGTGTGTCTCTGAGCGTCTTTGCTAAATTGGGATACAGCAGCTCGACACCTCTGCAGTCATTAAATACACGAATGGACAGGCTTTGCATTAGCATAAGCAGAAGCGATGATCATAAGATATGCTATTGATTTTAAATAACCTGAAGCGTTGAGGTTGAGATGTGAACAATTACTACTCACCTTGAAATCTGCAGATATTTTGGGGTTGGGGTGGGCAGCTCACTGCAGTCTGATTTACCTTGAGATATAATAATTAACTTTTAATTATTTACAGTATAGTTAACATCAGCAAGTAAGGGTTGATAATGTTGTAGGGAGGTATGGGTCAGAAGTAAGCATACCCTCATTATATAAATATCAAATCGAGACACTTTATGTGTTTCAGTTTGATATTTTTAAGCATTAGAGTTCTTTTCACTGGCACTTACCAACCACATAAAGAACATTCCACACAATAATCACCTGTGCACCATGCATTATCTAATACAGATCAATCAGGGAAATCATGTTCTTCTGTCAACTGCTAAGCCCAGAGTTTTCTATTGGAGAGTTTATCAGCCCTGTTCCTTTAAATGCTACAAATCTAAATGTTTTATAGGTGTTTCTCTTCTGCCCTACACATCTCACATCAATGGATGAAAATAGGTTCTGTAGCATTTGATTGCAAGAGGAAGGGAATGCAAGTTGAATCAGGTGTGCTGGAGAAGCTCTACATCTAAAACATGAAGGAATATGGGCCCTAAGGACCAGCTTTGAGAAACAAAGTTCTAACACCTCGAATCAGACAAGGTATGGTATATAGGCAGCTGAAAACATTACCATACACGAAGGTGAGTACATTTAAATTTCCATCAGTTACACATGTTACATTTCCATCCATCCATTAATTTTCCTTCAGGCTTATCCATCCTGGGGTCGCGAGGGATGCTGGTGCCTATCCCCAGTTGTCTACGGGCAAGAGGCGGGGTGCACCCCTGACAGGTCGCCAGTCCTTCGCAAGGCAACACAGAAACAAACAAGACAAACAACCATTCATGCACGCACTCACACCTAAGGAGAATTTAGAGAAGCCAAGTAAACTAACGCTATTTTTGACACTTTGAATTGAAATAGCCTCCGCGATGGGAAGCAAAAGATCTTCAAACTTGGAAACAAAGTCTAGTGGGTTTTTTTTTTTTTTTACTTTTTTTGGTTGAACACTTGTTTATTTATGATATTATCTACAGTTACTTATTGTACCTACTTATTTCTTTGTTGTTGTATTTTATTCTAATTTTATCTTGTACCACTAAGATTTGAAAATGTAAAATGCATTAGAAATACAATAAATTATTTTGTATAACTATCAGTAAAAAGTGGGCGCTAGAGAATATCCAACATAAATTCAAAGATGCTAATATGATTAACATTTGAATTGAGAAAGCTTCCTGGAGGGGAAGCAAAACGTCTTCAAACCTTGGAAACCAAGTCCAGTGGATTGTTTTTAAACTTGAATGACTATGACCTGGGTGACTAGGAATCTTCATCAGCATAATATGATTCATGTTTTTTAATAAAAATCCCTGAAGATAAAAATTATACAATCATTGCAGCCTAAAATAATGTTCAGATAAAACAAATTGATAACAATCAATGGCCAAAAATATTTAAAACTAATAAAAAAATATACAATAAGAATTCCTTTGAAGAATGGGAGTAAAGTTTGGACTGCAACCACGTGTACAAAAAAAGAAAATGCTCTTTGTTTGCAATGAAACAATATTTGCATAATTTCAACATGCAAATCAGACAAGCAAATTTGAGTCCTGTTTAGGTTACTAGAAATTTGAATGCGGACGGCTTTCTGAGAGGTAAACCACTCTCAAATGAGAAGGGGGGGGGTCTCAAATGATTATAAAAGCTTTTTTAGAGATGGTAACAGCACACAGGTTAATATTTACACAGAAAAGTTTAATGTTGATTGCTTGTAGCCACTAAACCTTTGCAAGAACATCTTTAATGCAGCTTTGATTTAGAGAAATTGATTATGAAAAAAATGTGCACAATACTGTAACACTACACCACCCAATGTTAACAAGACAAAACAACCTGAGTTTGGAAAGACATCTATTCAAGCAAAAGTAAAGAGCCTATTACAGTAAGTGCTATAAATGTTTGATGGCTTCAGGAGTTTTTCCAATTATCATGGTAAAAAGTTAAAGTAAATGAATCAAGCATTAAAAAAGAACAATTTGGATCTTAATTTTTTTATACTGTGAGCTTTTATGTATGCATGTGTATAGGAAACCAGAATTCTTAAAAATACACTATATTGCCAAAAGTATTTGCTCACCTGCCTTGACTCACATATGAGCTTAAGTGACATGCCGTTCCTAATCCATAGGGTTCAATATGACGTCGGTCCACCCTTTGCAGCTAGAACAGCTTCAACTCTTCTGGGAAGGCTGTCCACAAGGTTTAGGAGTGTGTTTATGGGAATTTTTGACCATTCTTCCAGAAGCGCATTTGTGAGGTCGCACACTGATGTTGGACGAGAAGGCCTGGCTCTCAGTCTCCGCTCTAATTCATCCCAAAGGTGTTCTATCGGGTTGAGGTCAGGACTCTGTGCAGGCCAGTCAAGTTCATCCACACCAGACTCTGTCATCCATGTCTTTATGGACCTTGCTTTGTGCACTGGTGCACAGCCATGTTGGAAGAGGAAGGGGCCAGCTCCAAACTGTTCCCACAAAGTTGGGAGCATGGAATTGTCCAAAATGTCTTGGTATGCTGAAGCATTCAGAGTTCCTTTCACTGGAACTAAGGGGCTAAGCCCAGCTCCTGAAAAACAACCTCACACCATAATCCCCCCTCCACCAAACTTTACACTTGGCACAATGCAGTCAGACAAGTACCGTTCTCCTGGCAACCGCCAAACCCAGACCCGTCCATCAGATTGCCAGATGGAGAAGCGCGATTCGTCACTCCAGAGAACGCGTCTCCACTGCTCTAGAGTCCAGTGGCGGCGTGCTTTACACCACCGCATCCGACGCTTTGCATTGCACTTGGTGATGTATGGCTTGGATGCAGCTGCTCGACCATGGAAACCCATTCCATGAAGCTCTCTGCGCACTGTTCTTGAGCTAATCTGAAGGCCACATGAAGTTTGGAGGTCTGTAGTGATTGACTCTGCAGAAAGTTGGCGACCTCTTCGCACTATGCGCGTCAGCATCCGCTGACCCCGCTCCGTCAGTTTACGTGGCCTACCTCTTCGTGGCTGAGTTGCTGTCGTTCCCAAACACTTCCATTTTCTTATAATACAGCTGACAGTTGACTGTGGAATATTTAGGAGCGAGGAAATTTCACGACTGGATTTGTTGCACAGGTGGCATCCTATCACAGTTCCACGCTGGAATTCACTGAGCTCCTGAGAGCGACCCATTCTTTCACAAATGTTTGTAAAAACAGTCTGCATGCCTAGGTGCTTGAATTTATACACCTGTGGCCATGGAAGTGATTGGAACACCTGATTCCAATAATTTGGATGGGTGAGCAAATACTTTTGGCAATATAGTGTATATACCAGGTGTTTACTTATGGTACTTTTTCCCTAAAATAGAGCTGAGTTTTAGGACTTGGTGATTTCAGCACCTTCCAAATCAGACAGAAAAAAAAAATCCATTGAGTTTTATGATATTAAACAAAGAAAATACATTCCCTAGCTGATTCAAAATCATATTTTAGTTTCATTTTCATAAGAGAGTTGTGCAGAAAAGCCATGTATCCTTTAGAGATTGCTTGTATAATTCTGGCAGAGGCAGGAAAATGACAATAAAATAAAGCCACATTTTAAATAAAAGATTATAATCCCTAACTATCCCACAGTTGGAAAATACAGGGGTTTCGGCAGTAATTAAAGGCACATTTTAAAGCAGAAGTACTTTGTATGTTATACTTTGTTATAAAAGGCTTGAATGAAATATCTAAGTATGATGATTTAAATATGCAATTGATCAAGGTCACCAACAGGCTATTTACAAAAAAAAAGAATCCTTGCATACTACAGTAAACAGCAAGGATGTAGACAACCTATTGAGTTTGTTCGGAATAGTCATGGTTACAAAACTAAAGGCTGTTACAAGGAAAGATCTGCAATAATGTCCCTACATGCACCCTATAGGTTGGACAACAATGTATGCAGTCACAATTTCACAACTCAAAAGATTCTCTGTAACTATAGGGTCTGTCTATGTATCTTTCCAGTGCTTGTTGAACAAATGACTTGAAAATATTAAATCAAATGTGTTGAGAAAATGACAGAATGAAGAAACAAATCTGAATAATGTAAATTATTCAAGATAAATTAAACCCTGGCCCTTCACCAAATCTTAATCAAATCTACTACCAGCAATTCTTAAACTTAAAAGAAAAGATAAAACCTGTACTGATTATATGTAAAAAGAAGAAGAAACTATTTACACAGCACATTTCCCTTATAAAGTCAATAAGTGTTTCAGAAGATACTGAAAAAAGAAAAATAGAACACTTAAAAGCAATAATAAAACAGTTAAATCCCAGTTAACCAAAAGCTAAGAAATGCCTCAGCAGCTTCTCAACCTATACAGAGGAAAGTTATTCTACAATTCTGGATCAACGGTTCGACATGACAAGTCTCCTCTTATTCTAAAGTGGGTCCTTGGAAGCATAAAATGGTTCTGATTTGAGGAACAAATAAACCAACCTGGGTAAGGCAAAGTAGATCAGAGACCAGCTTGACCATTAAAGGCTCTGAAAGTCTAAATTAGTAATTAGAGCTAGTGAGTGGAACATTTTTATTCGTTAATATATTTCTTATCAAGTATTTTATGGAGCAGTAAATGATAAATCAAACTTAAAGGTGAT